AATGACAAATCTCAGGAATCTGGATGTAATTCTCCAAAAATAAAATTTTGCATAGTTGAAACCAAAAACTCAACCCCAAAAGATAATTCAAATAATAATAAGAACAAGTTGTAAATTCAGACATTCTGAATTCAAATTTTAACAATCTATTAAAGTCAAATCACGAGACCGTTGAATCAAAAAATAGAAACCAAAAAGTTCACATCTCTTAACATTTTAGAATATCATTTTTTGTTCTAATTGAGCATCAAAAATTCAAAACGAATCGATAATTGGTGTATTGTGAAACTCAAATGAATAGTTTAAAGTGCAATATAAAAAAGTAAATATATTAAGGAATAATGTGATATAATTGAAGGGGTCTTCGTGTTATTTATCCTTAGAAAAAAAGCAACAAAAAGTGNTCAGTACTTAATTTATTATTTAATTTAATTACTCATATAATTCAAGTTTTCTATTAAAAAAATATTATTTAAATTTTTTTATATGCAACGCATGTCCTACATTGGTAGTATTTAAAAAAACATTCTCAAATGTTAACAATAAACAAAATTTGAACTTATTTTGTTTCATTTGAATAATACATAAAATTACACCAGGTAACACAAAGTATTAATTCGAAATACTAATACTTTAGAGGAGGTTATAAATGTGGATGATCTATCTTTCACCGAACCAAAAAAAGAATTAATCAATGTACACGTAAATTAGTTCCCAAAAAATACAAAGATCACATAAAATTCAAATGTAGAAATTTTAATTTTTTAAAATCTGGGGACCATGGACCCCAAGCTCCAAAATATCTCTGTCTCTCTGATCCTGTGTAAACCAATAATTGTTGTATCATCATCTATAAACCAATCTTCTCACGTGATTCCCATGTCTTTTTTTTTTTTTNGAAAAACCTTAACATGAACACGAACTATTTATTATTTAATAAACAAATAACACACGACTTATTTAACACAGTGCTGACCCAAAAATCACTAAAAGTGACCGCCTCAGCTTCTAAGCTTAGACAATCTCATGTGAATTGCTTGAGAATAGAAAACTATAATCAATGTTATCAAAATCGAACTCGTCATTGAATCGACAAAAGAATCAGGTTAATGGTTTACTGGTTCAATCGTTAGGTCAATTGGTCGGATCGGTTATATAATAATATATATATATATATATATATATATAATAATTATAAAACATAATACTTTAGCTAAAAAATATAAAATATATTTATAATGCATATAATTTGTCATAAAATTAATGATCGATTGCTTCCTGGACTGTTGAACTGATCGACTGACTGAGAGAGATCTAAAGTGTTGATCTAATCGATTGACTAAAAAATATCGATTGATTGCTGTTGTTCATCGGAACCAATCGATTGAGTAACAAAGCAGTAGTTGCCTCCCTTCGCTACTATTCTTCGCCGGAGAGCTTGCTTGAGTTGTCGCCTTCGCCTGAAACCTGAGCAAAGCAGTAATCACTATTTCCTTGGTCACCTGAGCAACCTCGATGGCATCCTGAGTGCCGCCTGAGCACTAATCGCTGCATCGCTAGTGATTGGTGTTCTTCTCACTTCCCATTCTCTGTATTCTACGATTTAGGACAAAATCAAAATTGCCCAAATACAAAAAAAAAAGATTCAATCAGTTTTTGTTTTATAGACTTCAAACCGTCCAATTTTAAAAAATCGTCTAATTCACAATTGTTTCCAAAATTTGACTGATTTGGTGGTTTTTATTCGATTCTCTTCCTTGTGTGGTTTAACTAGCCAACCAAATCGATTAAGGTCCTGGGTCACAGTTGAATTGATCTGACCGACCAATCTTGTCTGATTCTGATAGCACTAACTATAACACTTTATAAGCAGGGGATGCTGTTGTCAAACTTAAAGGCCAAAAAAATTAATAGTGAAAAAAAATGCCTATAAAACTTTACTCGATGTGAGATACGATTCAAAGGCAAAAAAAATGCCTTCCAAAGAGTTGTGTTGCTACCTTCCCGAGAGTTGTGTTCAAGTCAAATTAATAGTGAAATAAATTTAAATATTTTATCATGTATTTGTGTATAAATTTATTTTTTTAATTATATTTTTTTAATAAATTTTATATATGTAAACTTTATAAAACTAACAATCTAACAATTTTAGATTGCCTATATATTTTTTGTGGATGTTATTAAAAAAAAAATTAGCTAATTTTTTTAAATAATTATTAATTTATTATTATATTGATTTTGTTTATACGAGTAATCTCACCCGAATACGACCCGTTTATTAAATGTGTTTGACGGATCAACCCGTTTACCGTCTAAATCCATTAAGGTCTCATTCAAATTCGTTTAATTCGTGTCGTATTAGAGTTTGACAGGTCTAAGTACAATTACATATAATTTTTTATCTTTATATGAAGAAGTAAAATCTTATATATATTAAATCATTATATACATGTAATTACCTATTTGAATTCCACAATTAAATATATATTATATTATATTTTTTGGTATGAAATAATATAATAATATTGTAAGCGATCTAATCAATTTATTTAACAAAATAAAAATTAATAAGTCTATAATATAATTAGATACATAGGACTAAAAGGGATGGAGATATGCCTAAATAAATGACATATTAGTTATTCAAAGACTTATAGAATAAATGAATAATTAAATTTAGTAATAATTAAAATACGAATTAATTATTCAGTACTTAATTTATTATTTAATTTAATTACTCATATAATTCAAGTTTTCTATTAAAAAAATATTATTTAAATTTTTTTATATGCAACGCATGTCCTACATTGGTAGTATTTAAAAAAACATTCTCAAATGTTAACAATAAACAAAATTTGAACTTATTTTGTTTCATTTGAATAATACATAAAATTACACCAGGTAACACAAAGTATTAATTCGAAATACTAATACTTTAGAGGAGGTTATAAATGTGGATGATCTATCTTTCACCGAACCAAAAAAAGAATTAATCAATGTACACGTAAATTAGTTCCCAAAAAATACAAAGATCACATAAAATTCAAATGTAGAAATTTTAATTTTTTAAAATCTGGGGACCATGGACCCCAAGCTCCAAAATATCTCTGTCTCTCTGATCCTGTGTAAACCAATAATTGTTGTATCATCATCTATAAACCAATCTTCTCACGTGATTCCCATGTCTTTTTTTTTTTTTTTTTCTTTTTTTTTCTTTTTCTTTGTTTTAAAATTGAAGTTTGGAATTTCTGACTTCTATAATAATGAAAACAAATTGAAGTTACACTTAAAATTGTATTTATCCTAGAGTGTAAGATTTTATGTTCAAAAAAAAGATAAGATAAGATAACTTATTACATGAGAGAGAAATGTGTGTGTGTGTGTGAGAGAGAGAGAGAGAGATGACGGGTTTTGATGATTGGGAAAAAAAGAAAATTATATATAGACCAGGCCACCTGGACTATTTCATATCTTCCTATAAAATTTGTACTTTCTCATATTGCACCAATTTTTGATTTTTATAGTAAATCAGGAAAAAAATAAAAGGAAAATTTATACCCAGGCCTCTTCAGATTTATCATTTAATCACTTAAACCTCTTACATTTAAAATATTACACACAGATCTCATAAGATTTGTACGCATTACACATAGACCCCATGAGATTGTATGCGTGTAACACTTAAATCTCTGTCGTCGATGTCCATTAGTATATTCGTTAGTAAATTATACCTAAATTCCCTAAAGTTTATAGACATATAATACTTAGATCTCTCAAGTTTAAATGTTATACTTAGATAAAAAATAATCAATTCAAAGATAAAATATTAAATATTTAAATTTTACAACTAAAATTTATCTTTTCTTATGACATTTATTGAAATAAAATCAAAAATAAAAATCTAATTTTTTTATAAAAAAAATCATAATTAGTATACAATTATACTAGCTATTAGAATTTAATTTTGTTGTTTAAACGACTAAATTAAACTATTAATTACTCCAATTAAAGTTAGAAGATATTTCCATTACAGTTTGACCCATTGTTTGATTTTTTTAGTTTTATTCGAATAGATAATATAATTGTATATTAATTATAATTTATTAAGAAAAAATTAAAATTTTATTTTTAATTTTATTTCAATAAATGACATAATATAACATGAATTTTAGTTATAAAATTCATGTTCTATTATGAATGATTTAGATTCTTTTTTTGATTTTTTAGTTTTATTTGAATAGTAGATAATATGATGGTATACTAATTATGATTCTTTTTTAAAAAAAAATAGATTTTTATTTTTAATTTTATTTTAATAAATGATATATTAGAACATGAATTTTATAAAATTTAAAATATTTGATATTCTATCTTTGACTGGAGTATTTTTGGTCTAAGTATAACATTTTAAACTAAAATGATACTATAAACTTTAGGGGTTTTAGTGTAATTTACTAAAAAATATACTAAGGGATCTGAATGTTACACGCGTACAAATCTCAGAGTGTCTGTGTGTAATATTTTAAATATCAAGAAGTTTGAGTGATTAAATGACAAATCTCAGGAATCTGGATGTAATTCTCCAAAAATAAAATTTTGCATAGTTGAAACCAAAAACTCAACCCCAAAAGATAATTCAAATAATAATAAGAACAAGTTGTAAATTCAGACATTCTGAATTCAAATTTTAACAATCTATTAAAGTCAAATCACGAGACCGTTGAATCAAAAAATAGAAACCAAAAAGTTCACATCTCTTAACATTTTAGAATATCATTTTTTGTTCTAATTGAGCATCAAAAATTCAAAACGAATCGATAATTGGTGTATTGTGAAACTCAAATGAATAGTTTAAAGTGCAATATAAAAAAGTAAATATATTAAGGAATAATGTGATATAATTGAAGGGGTCTTCGTGTTATTTATCCTTAGAAAAAAAGCAACAAAAAGTGACAAAAAAAAAAAAAAGAGTAACTAGTAAGGAACAGGTTACCTTCACTTGTCGGCAGAGAAAGCAACAATGCTTAGGTATGATTCATCAGCGGTTAATCGTTGAGTTAACCCTCTTTTCCAAGCCACCCATTGCTCTTGGCCACCTACCTTCTCTTTCCAACAACACACAACCAACTATCCTCAATAAGCTCTTACCCAAGTCACCAACAACGATGTCTTTGTGTTCTTTGTTTAATTGAAGAGCCCTGAAGCTTTTTTTCTGACCAATATTTCTGTTATCAGTACAGTCACACTAGTTTAGTGATTGAACTAAGATTTGATGGCCGGAGACCCACCATCGGAAATCCAAATCAGAGTTCCCCCAAGGCAAGGGGGGAACATGATTCACCCAGTAGAGGTAGACACGGCACCATTACCATCTTCTTCTACTCCGACTCCGATGATTTACAGAGAAGTAAAGCATTTCAAGAAATGGTTTCCTTGGTTGATACCCACGTTTGTCGTTGCCAACGTTATTATGTTCTTGATTACTATGTATGTTAATGATTGCCCCAAGAATTCTGTTTCATGTGTTGCTGGATTTTTGGGGAGGTTCTCTTTTCAGCCCTTCAAAGAAAATCCTCTTCTTGGGCCTTCTTCTTCCACGTAAGCTTTATGAATCCAATTTTCTTTCGAGTTTATGTAAATTGAACATGCCCATTTTATCTTTTTATAGATTCTCAAGTTTCAGTTTTTACATAAATAAGTATAGTGACTTGATGAATTTCAGTAGGGTTGAATAGTTATATTCCATTAAACAGCTCTTAAAGCATTGGGAAATAAATTTTGCCCTAGAACTATATTTATGTATTCACAATATTCAAGCTCCCATATAATCCTTGCTAGCTTTGAAGTTCAATACATTACTTTTTTTGTTTTCTTTAGATTGCCTGATGAAGTGAGTTATTGAATTCCATTGACTATTTATTACACACAGCATTTAGCAGTATGGCTTTTACACCTGGGGTGCAACTAAAAATTCTGTTGTGTTTGGCAGCATAAAAACGTGGTCTGGAAATTGGAACAAGGAAAATCTAATTTCCCAGTTCCATCTCTAAAGCTCGAACTTCATGCTGCCAAATGCAGCACTTGGTATTTCCAAGTCTCAATGTCTTGCTGCCTGATGCAGCATTGTGGCATCATTACCTAGTACTTATCTAGAACTGGATCAGTAATTCGGCTTTTAGGTGAGATTGTTCTAGATTCATTATTTTTTAACAGACTAAATGGCCATCTATGAAGTTGGATGGCGGATGGAACTGGTGATCCTGAAAAGTTGATCTCAATTTTTTAAAAATATGACATAGAGCTTCATTCGTATGAGGCCACAATCTGTTCACTGTGGTTGGATAGGTTAGAGCAGGCACAATTTGGTTCCTGCCAGGGATGTCAGTTTATGTTGATTACTAGTATTTATTAAAATGCTTTTATTATACTTTTTTTNTTGTATGAGGCCACAATCTGTTCACTGTGGTTGGATAGGTTAGAGCAGGCACAATTTGGTTCCTGCCAGGGGTGTCAGTTTATGTTGATTACTAGTATTTATTAAAATGCTTTTATTATACTTTTTTTTTCCTTACCAGTGTTGTAATGACGCTTTATATGTAGTCGCCTCTCATTAGAGGAAATAAGTTACCAGTTTTCACATGTGAAAAAGTGAAATGGCAACATCCTGTCCTCCTCCTCCTTTTTCATGATTATATTTCTTTTATAATTTGTATTGTTTATACCAACAAGATGTACCTTATGTACTCGGTGTAGACTAACTGTTTCAATGCTAGATGCACTGAAGAATGATTTTATATTCTCAACGAGGCTTAGCTGCTTGACTTTTATTATATTTCCAAACGTAGATATACTGTGAATGCTGTGCCATTACAGTTAATTACAAAAGCTACCATAAATGAATCTTCACTTATGGATGCAGCAATCAATGTAGATTGATACAGAATGAATTAATATCTGAGTAACTGTCTACATTTTTCTTTTCCTTTAGGCTAGAGAAGATGGGTGCATTAGATGTGAGTAAAGTGGTCCACAAACACCAGGGCTGGCGCCTTATCAGTTGCATTTGGTTACATGGCGGAGTTTTCCATATTCTGGCCAATATGTTGAGTCTTTTAGTTATTGGCATTCGGCTTGAGCAAGAATTCGGGTTCGGTAAGTTCTAAATCTGCATGCACAAATCACAACTCAATATTCTTAACATGATATGACCATAATCAAACAATTGTAATGGATATTATGATGTATGCAACTAACTCGTGGGGCATTATCCCAAAATTTCTCAAGTACTTGATACACTTCCTAAGAAAGAACTCATCTTGGTATTGGATCCACTCTTATGTTAGCATGAATATGAATTAGATTCTATTTGTCTTCTTTATTCTTAAAAGAAAGCCCCTAATAGAAAAAGATGCACTTATATGATTCCTGATTTGAGATCTATGTATTTACTAAATTACTAGTGTTCTGATGTCCTAAATGAAACTTATGTTTCGCTTATCTGATTTTGAGCTTAGACGAAGTAATATTTTATTTTTGTGCCATGGGTTTATCTTTGTGGTGGTGGTGGTAGTCGAGTTTAATTTTACAGGATGGTTTGGTTGGCTTTGGGTCAGGCTTGAGTCAAACTTGGGGGCGGGAAAGGGGGAAGGGGGAAGGGGGAAGGGATAATGCTGTTATTTTTAGACAAGGGGTGGAATGCAACAGGGTATAGTATACTACAGGCAATAAAGTATTGTTTGTCCAGCATTAGCTTTAATGTTAAGAATCTTTTAGCTTAGAATCCTTACTTGTTCTTGTCTTCTTGTGTAGTTCGCATTGGTTTGTTATATATCATCTCAGGACTTGGTGGGAGTTTGTTGTCTGCTCTATTCATCCAGTCCAATATTTCTGTTGGTGCTTCTGGTGCACTTTTTGGATTACTGGGAGGCATGCTTTCTGAACTCATCACTAATTGGACTATCTATGCTAATAAGGTATTTATTGAACTACTCTTAAACATGGCTTTACTGAATTCTTCTGTAGATATTTACATCATAGGTCGGAGTCATCTTAAAATACACCGTTTATATGTATGTTCAGGTAGCAGCATTATTGACCCTTGTGGTCATCATCGTTCTCAATCTAGCAGTGGGTATCCTTCCACATGTTGATAACTTTGCTCATATTGGAGGATTTCTTTCTGGTTTTCTTCTTGGATTCGTGTTTTTGATCCGCCCACAGTTTGGATGGGTTAGCCAAAGATACGCTGCTCCTGGATATTCTTCAATTTCAGCTAAACCAAAGTTTAAGATGTATCAGTGCATCCTCTGGGTTGCTTCTCTGATCCTTTTGATAGTTGGGTAATCCTCTGAAAACTGTATCTGCATTTTCAATTTGATCCTACTCTTGACCATTTTGGATGTCTGACTGAAGAGAAAAAGCAAGCCAAATATCTTTCAAGGCATGTAGACCGTGATAGTCTAGGCCCAGTATTTCCCGGGAGGCCAAGTACATTTCTTAATAGTCTCACAGAGTACCACTGAACATGATACTGTTCACATCTTTCTCAATTCTCTGGTTATCCCTGTAGATCTCTTGCACTAGTTCTGAAATTTTAATCACCTGCTCCTACAAACTTGCTGCCTTACTTTTATTTCAAAATTGTCTTTGGCATATGTATGAGAAGGAACATATAAAATACAAAGATGGCCCTCCCATCCTCTCCTTACTGTGGGGTGTTTCAACAATATTGCCCAATTCCGGGAAACTTAACTTTCTTGTTCAGTTTCATTATTTTTTTTCTTTTTTTGGTCTGCGTTTTTTTTGAGGGGGGTGGGGGGGGGGGGGTTTCCCTTTTTTTTTTTGTTTTGC